TTTTCTACTCTTGGCTTTGCTCAGCCTCTGGCTTATCTCCATTTTCAGACAGCATCTAGCAGTGACAGGCTTAGACCCTGTCTTCTTAGAAACCTGAGAGGAAAGCTAGAAATCACTCTCTTCTCAACAGTTATAAGGCACAGATCTGAGTCTTTGGCTCTGATCGGGTCACATGCCATCCCTGAAACAGCCATTATGAATGCAGGCTATGATGCTATGATTGACCTAGCCTGGGTCATTAACTCACCTATAGAGCTGAAGGTAGAGTCAGTTCTGCCGAAACTATACAACATCAGATTGAAAGATTTCCCAAGGAAAATAAGACCTGTTTTTAGGAGGGGGAAAAAAAGTAGACACTGCGTAGACAAAGAAAACAGATGTCCACTCCAGCCCAATAGCCATAGTAAACCACTGCCATTTCCTAAAGGGTTATAATCAGAGTTATAGGAAGAGTAAATTTGTAGTGATCACAAGATGGACTCGAGACCCCTTAAAATCTGCCTCCAGACTAGTTGGCCTCATCCCTGCCACACAACTCCTTCCTTGCACACTCTCTGCTCTATTTTCAGTTACTGGCATATTTAGGTGTTCCTGTAATTCTCCTGATGTCTTTCCTCTGTCTGAAATGCCTTTATGCTCATTCTCTACCTACTGACGTCCTATTAATCCTTTAAGATCCATCTTAAAAGTTACTTCTTTTGAGGCTTCCCTGACCTCAATCCATCCTCCTCTTTCCCACTCTTCAGGGACCCCAGTTCCTTACACCTCTCTATTTTCATGTAAGCAGCAACTGAATGATCATGTTTCCATTTTAGGCTTTAGAGTTGAGCTTTTCTGGGACCCAGGACCACTATAACTAATCCTGTAACCTTGGAAAATTTATTTACTTTCACATGCAAATGAAGATACTATACTTATTTCCCAATGCTGTTTATCGCTGCATATAAAATGTATGGTTCATGTGCTAAATAACTGTTAGTTCTCTTTATCTATTTTCATTCCTGAAAACTTACAGCATGCCTGACATTATAATTCTTTGTGTACATATTTGTCTCTCATGGTATATATACTGTGAGCACCTTGAGATTAGTGACCATTTGGTACAATGCTTTGTATCTCTGTTACCTGGCACAGTGTCTGGCACACTTCTACCAAGAAAACTTTGGTGAGTAAAAGAATGAAAGAATAAATCAAACTTCATCTTCTGAGAGTAAAGTGGACTAGAAAATCCGAATGCTTCTTCCAACAGAAACGAAGTAAAGAATAATTATTTTTTAATTTATAGAAGTATCAGAACCGGTACAAATAGAAAGCGTCTGTATACCTGCAGTAAACAGGAGTCCTGGGAAGTGAGTGAGTGCCAATGCCACTTTTGCCCTGAGGGTTTTTACTGAGCTCTGACTCCCTTGAGTTCCTATTTTGACTGCATGCAGAGTACAGGGGCTCTATCCCAGGGCCTGCCCAAAGGGAGTTTATAATAGGAGACTCCTGTATAAAGTTGGGACCCCAAAGGGTTACGTTCACACTTTCAGAATAAACAAGACCGTGCCTATAGTTTACAACACTGTATTGCATATTTATAAATTAGTGAAGATTTATAAATAAAAAATAATAATGCTCTCATGCATTATTGCCACAATAAAAATTTTTTAATTTAAAAAGACACAGAGGAAAAAAGACATTTCTGATGAGGTAAATAAGAAAGCACAGAGGTAGCATTAATTTAAAAACCATGCCTTAAGAGGAGAAGTAGACAGAATTATTTAGTGTAGGAAAAAAAAGGGCGGGGGGTGGACAAATTGAAGTGAATAAAAGAGTTACAAGAAAGCCCTGAATATGGGGCTGAAAGCCATTTCCATGCAATTATGTAATGTCCATGAAGAGTCACTATAGATTTGGGGATTATACCATGATAAAAACAGCCTGAAGAAGATTATTCTGAGTAATCCGTACATACCGCTAAAGCACAAAGGGAGTTGCTGAATCCATTAATAAGTCTTTGTAATACTTATGATGAGTAGCATAAAATGCTTAGTTGAGAGTATGTATGAAAATAGGAAAGTTTTGAGAAAAAAATACAAGTGAGTGTTTTTCTATTCTCCTATTCAAGTAGGCCTCTTTTGAAAAAATAAAAGGATTGCTTCTTTGAAAAGAAATTCTAAAAAACTGCTTCTAAAAAAATTAGCAATATATAAAACTCACTGAGCAGAAGGAAATTGGCCCACTTTGACCCAGGTGCTACATGAAAAAAAAAAAATCTGTTATTATAAGCTGATCCTCACGTGCACCTGCAGTTCAAATTCACACTGTGTGGTCCAAAAGAAACTCAGTTGAATCTAAAGTTGTATTAGCTTGGTAGCCCTGCCAGACAACCGGTAGAAGCAAACATAAATCCTCTTTGATGGAACCTCCTTTGTCCCAGGTTTCAAATAATTCCCACAAAATGATTTTTAAAAATAACAGTTCGTAGACAAAAAAATAATGAAACACACAAGTAAACAAGTCACACTGAGTGAAAACCAGCAGAATGACAGACAACAGAAACCAACCTGCAAGATACTACAGATATTAGCATTATAAGACACAAAGCATAACTATATTTAATATTTTAAAAATAAAACAGATTTTAAAGAGAAAATGATCAATAAATTGATATAGAAATGCAATAGATGAATTATACATCAGATTCTGAGGAAACAATGTACTAGAAGATAAATCTAAAGAGATTATCCAAAATTTATACCACAGAGGAAAGGACTGAAAAGAACAAAAAGGTAAGTTTCATGCAGGATAGAATGAGAAGTCTTAAAATCATCAAGTCAGAGTTTCATAAAAGAACACTAGGAAGAGTGGAGAAGAGGAAATAATAGATAAGAGATATAATTAGATAATTTTCCAGAATTGTAGAAAGATATCAATTCGCAGATTCATGAGCACTAAAAATCTCAAGCAGGAAAAGTAAAAAATCCATACCTAGTCATATCGTAGAGAAACTGAAGAACATTGAAAAATAAGAGACTATCTTAAAATATCATAAAAGCAGAAAAAGGAAAAGACCAATTACCTACAAAGAACTAAGTAGGCTGACTGCTGAGTTCTCAAGAACAAGAATGTATGTTTAGAATACAATGCTGCTGAAAATATATTAAATATCTACCTAGAATTTTATAACTAGTAAAAATGTCCATCTAGAATGAAGGAAAAAAAATACAATATTTCCAGAACAATAGTAACAGATATTTTAATGACCAAATAAAACTTTCTAAAGGAAATTCTGAAGTGTGTACTTCAGGCAGAAGAAAAATAATCCCACACAGAGAATTCTAGATGCAAGAAAGAAAACTGAACAAAAATATTAACTAAATAAAACAATAATAGTGTCAAATTAGGGCAAAGAGAACTAAAATACTGAATATTAATGGCATATGCATTGGGAAGATGATCAAAGTTAAAGCATTCTAAGGTTTTTAATTGACAATAACTATATTAATTCAATATTAATTAAAAGAGAATAGCTAGAATATACTCCTTAAAAGATACCAAAGTGTGAAAAAGCAAGTCACAGAGTGGGAGAAGATATTTGAGATATATTTATATATTTGACAAAGGACTCATATATGAAATACGTGAGTTCTATAAACATCCTTGTATCTAGAAAATATGAAACAAATATTTTATATTTCTATAAACATCCTTCTATCCAGAATATATAAAATAGAAATCAATCAGAAAAAAAAATTTAGAGAAAGTGGGAAAATTTTTAAACAGACATTTCACCAAAGAGGAAATCCAAAAGGGAAATACACTGACCAACTTCATTAAGTCTCAGGGAAATGCAAATGAGCCTAAAATGCAGTAACACTACATGATCAACAAAATGGCTAAAATTTAAAAAGACTAAATATATCAAGTGCTAGTGAAGTTATGGAACAACTCTTCTACACTGCTAGGATTGTAAATTGGGATAATCACTTTGAAACATGTTTAGCTGTATCGATTAAATCCCAACACATACATATCCTGTGACCAACCAATTCCATGCCTATTCTTATACCCAGTAGAAATGCGTACTTCAATTTACCAAGACACATGCAATATGTTCATAACAGAACTTTTCTTTATAATAGCCTCAAACTAGAAACTGTCCAAATGTCCATCAAAAGTAGAATAAATTGCAATATATTCACACAGTGGCATAGTTATGGGAATGAACAAATTACAACTATATGCAGCAATATGAATGTATAGCACAAACATAAATGAAAGTAAGCGGCACTAAAGAGCACATTCTAAATGATTTAGTTCACATAAAGTTCAAAAATATGCAGAATTTACCTCTGGTATTAGAAGGTAAGAGAGTTGTTATCCTTAGGTGAAGGAACAGTGACCAGAAGAAAGCATGAGAGGGGCAGTCTAAGACACAGGCAAGGTTATATTTTTCAATCTATGTGCTGTGTACATGATTATGTTTGATTTGGGAACATTCATTAATCTGTACTCTTACGATTTTAAAACATAGTAGGGTAACTGTAAAAAAAGATAGGCATTGCATACATACCTTGCAAATAAAAAAAAGAATGAAGAAATCTCACTCAAGAAAGAGGAAGATGAGGGGAAGAAAATGGAATAAAAGTATGTAATAAGAGAGTAGATATAAATTTTAAAATACTGATAAACTATAAATGTAATACATGAGATTCTCGTTAGAAGATATATGCATTCAAATTATTCAATATTTAAAAATATCCCAGACAAGAAAAAGCTGAAAAAGTTCACCACCAAACTAGTATTACAAGAAATGTTAAAAAGACTTCTTTAAGACTAAGAAGGAAAAAAAAAGATAAAAAACATGAATAATAAAATGTCAATAACTACATATCAATAATTACTTTAAATGTAAATGGGTTAAATGCTCAAATAAAAAGAC